AACGGGTTCCCTGTTTTCCTGAGTCCCTCCGGTGGGGGTGGACTGGAGGTGTGCACTGGTGACAAGCCCACCTTCTCCTCTGCCCTCCACTGCTTCCTCCTGCCTGTCCTCCATGATCCCCTTGGCAGGATGGGGCAAATCTGTCCTGCCCACTCAAGATTGGGTGATTTTAGTGCATTTCCCCAGACATCCTTGTTTTTTTGCATTTTTCCTAGCTGAACCTCACTTTTCTGTGGGCAGCCTATTTTTTGATGCCTTAGAAAACATAGACAAGTCAGCCGTTTCTCACACCCAGCTGCGTCTGCCACTTCAACAAAGTGTCCTGTATTCCACCGCTAAGTTCATTTTCGGGGTGGGAGTGAGGCAGTAGGTAACCAGGAGCCTCGTGCCAAGTCCCAGGTCATTTCCTAGGTGGATGCTGTTTAACGTGTTTTATTAGCTTGAAGCCTTAGGCCTGGGGAGGTGGTCCTGCTGCCATGCGGCGGAGAGTGGGACCAGAGAAAAGTTAGGTTCTTTCCAGCTCTGGCCCCACACTGCCCGCAGCGAGCAGATACTCGGTACCTTCCGGTGTTGGGCTCTCGTCGAGGGCTGGGAGTGCAGTGAGGTGAGTTCCAGGGAGAACGGGTGCCTAGAAAGACAGGCGGTGCACAATGGATGCCCAGTTCAATGCTGGTTCCCCCCTCCCCCACTTTTTTAGGTCTCAGTAGCCTTAAGCCCCACAGATGTCAGCTGGCATATCCTTAGGTAAAGTGACCGACAGACAAGGCGGGCTTCATCATTTACAGGGCCCAGTGCAAAATAAAAATTTGGGTCATGGCCAGGGTGGGTAAATCAGTCTTCCTGTGGGCTTGCTGTTATAACCCATGGTGGCCAAGTGACCTCTGAAGAGATTGTAACCTTTGCACCCTCTGGACACAGATCAAAGGTGGCCCCCCCACCCCACCCCGCGCTGAGCCAGCAGCACTTGAGGCACAACTCTGTGAGCCCTGGGAGGGGAGGGCTGCCACCAGGGCCCTCCCTGAGATGCTGCAAGGCGGGCACCCAACTCTCCCTTCCCTGCACCTGTGCCTGGTGCCCACCGGCCAGACCCTTTCCACCATCGGGAATGGGAGGATAGTAGGAGGTGGACAGGGCAAAGAAGACCCTGCAGCGGGGTCAGCCACCAGTGCTCGGGGAGCAGATGTTGAAAACCCCTCCTGGGGAGGTGCTAGGAGGCAGGACCACAAAGGAGCTGGGGCCCCAGGCCATAGCCCTATTCAATTTCACTTACAATACACAAGTTCAAAGATAAAAATATTAAGAATTGAAATGGTAACTGCAGGGCACTAAACCCAAGTGGGAGGCCCTTCAGACCATGAGGCCTGCAGTCACACAGGACTCTAACCTCCCCAGGGTCCTGCCTGACTGCAGATTCCCAGGAGATACAATTGGCTCAGTCTGAGGCCCGGGTCGGGGGTGGGGTTGGAATTAGGCCAGCTGGCTAAGCGGATGCTACAGGCTGGGGTCAAGGGATATGAACTTGCACAGTGGGGCACAGGTCCATTAAGTGGATGACAGGTGCTTCTCTGAAGGGGGTGGGGGCTGTGGGCTAGGCTGGCCCCAAAGATCCTTCCTCCGTGCACACGTGCTGAAGGAAATCTGGAGACTCCTTTCCTGGAAAAGGTCCACACATATACCATCAGAACTGTGTGTGACCAGTGGATTTTGACCACAGAGCTGGGGAGATGGCAGAATGACTAGATGCTCCCTTCAATCCCTTCCTGAGCCCATTTTTGGTGCTCTATTTGGTCTAAGTTAAGGATTGCCATGCTGTGTATCATGAGAATTTTTCTAAAGATTTTTAAAATTTATTTGACAGACAGAGATCATAAGTAGGCAAAGAGGCAGGCAGAGAGAGAGGGGGAAGCAGGCTCCCTGCTGAGCAGAGAGCCCAATGCCGGGCTTGATCCCAGGAACCTGAGATCATGACCTGAGCCGAAGGCAGAGGCTTAACCCACTGAGCCACCCAGGCGCCCCTATCATGAGAATTTTAAAATGAAAATTTTCTTTTTCATTTCTCTATGATCCACAAGTAATTTATTTTCCTTGAAAAAGAAAAAAAAAAGTGTTTTGTTTTGTTTTGTTTTTTCCCCAAGTGTCTCCTTGAAGGGGGAAGATGTAAGAGAGAGAAGGAAGGAGAGCCTGGGCCGTTTTTTAAAGAAGTTTATCCTTTAAGATCCAGACAATGTCAGTGATTTTTAGCAAATGAAGAAATGTCACCAAATTTAGGGAGACTGTTTTCCCCTTTCTCCCCTCTTATACACATTCTGTCTCTTATCTTGATTTCTTAAAAGTTCAACATGATCTTACCCCCCAAACAGGCAACATGGACACTCGGCTAATGTCTATTAGCATCTGCTATGTTTGGGACACTTCTCAGAGCCACGGGCACTAAACTAAGAAATATTCCTCACTCCTAAGGACCTAGCACAGAGGATATAGGGTTTGAATTCATTTCTTTAACTAACTCAGGATAGGACCTAGACGAGGTTTCTCTCTGTCCACCTCCCAGTACTTCCGGTTCTCCCCCACCCATGCCGTCGAACGTGTGCATGACCGCGGTGATGGAACACACTCATGAAAGCTGCCTTCAGAGGGGTGCTGGATCTCATCTGTGGGTGCATCGCAGAGACGTGAGCTTTCCGAGGCTTGTAGGGCCGTTTTGGAAAAAGCCTGGGACATCCGTGCTGCATTAGAGGTGGTGACAGGCAGTCATGGCATCAGGAGCCCTTGCACAGAGCTCCCAGAGATGTTCTGAGAACCTCATCCGGATGGGTGAAAGGGACCCACGCAGGGACTTGAGGCCCCAGTTGCCCAGAAACATGCCGATGGAGTGATTGCCACCAGGAAGCTCCTCTGGAACCCTTTCCTGTCCAGCTCAGCTGTTACAGAGCCTTGCTTCTGAGAGCTTAAATTGGGTGCCATGGTGGTTTCTTGCTTTCTGACCCAGAAGCTGCTGGGATTCATTTGTTGGGCTGGAAGGGAGAGGACGCAGTTGGGGTTTCACCTTAATTACCTGTTTGTTCCCGTTCTTTGTAAAGGAATTGATTTTTTCGTCCTTTAGCAGAGTTGGTGCTCTCCCACAAGATGTCGCTCTAACTTGAATTTGGGGTTCCATCTTGAAACCAAACACTGCCCAGCTACTTTTTGAAGTTAGGTCCTATCTTTTTTGTTTTTTGTTTTTTAAAGACTTTATTTGTTTGAGAGAGAGCATGAGCAGGAGAAAAGAGTAGAGGGAGCTGAGCAGAGAGCCCGATGCGGAACTCGGTCCCAGGACCCTGGAATCATGACCTGAGCCGAAGGCAGACGCTTAACCCACTGAGCCACCCAGGCACCCATATCTTGTGAGTTTTATTTAATAGGATCTGTGACATTTGGTTTATATGTATGAGTCACAGAAATGTGGTTGCTCCTTTTTAAAAATATTTTAATATACTTGATGTAGGCTCATTTGTTACAGACTTTCTCTACCTCCCACTCCTTTTGTGAAGACAGATGGGCTCAGAGAGCAGCTGTGCTCATCACTGCCCATTGCCACTGAGTACTAAGGACAAAAAAGACCACGTGTGTGTGTGTGTGTGTATTTACAGTGACTAATTCTTACATGAACTCTATGATATTGCTGGTTGGGTACCATTTTACAGATAAGGAACTCAAGAATCAGGGAAAGTAAGGCCGAGATCACACAACTAGAATGTGGCCGAGCTGGGACTTGAACCCATCTGACATCTAAGTTTTTTCCCCTCTGCTGTGCGTGCTCTTGTCATCATGGCAATGTAGGGTTTTATAAAGGAGTATACTAAGAAATGCATTGGTTTTTTTGTGTAGGATTCATATCCCCACAGGCCCCCTACGCCATAAACATAGGCCTTTGAGAATCTGATAATATGGGGTGAGGTGGTGAGGCACCAGCACATCCTCGCTCTCGGAGCTTCTGTGACCTGTGGAGAGGCTGTTCTACTTCTTGTGGGACCCGCTGTAGCCCTTCAAGGGAAGGAAGAGGTCTGAGTGGGAAGACTTGCCGGAAGGCAGCAAAGCAGAGTGGAGAGAACATGGCTTCTGGCTCCAGGAAGCTCTGCTCTGTCCCCTGTAGGCAGTGTCTTTCCTGACCATCAACCAAGTAAGGGTGATGGCACCAACAAGAGGAGACTTTCGGGATGGTTGGAATTAGGTGAAATGAAGGCTGTAAACCCTTTGACATACACAACACTCAACAGTTGTTAGGTACGATTAAAAAAGGACTTAACCTGGGCACCTGGGTGGCTCAGTCATTGGGCGTCTGCCCTCAGCTCAGGTCATGGTCCCAGGGTCCTGGGATCGAGCCTCATGTGGGGCTCTCTGCTCAGCAGGGGGCCTGCTTCTCCCTCTCCCACTCCCCCTGCTTGTGTTCCCTCTCTCACTGTGTTTCTCTCTGTCAAATAAATAAAATCTTAAAAAAAAAAAAGAAAAGAAAAGAAAAGAAAAAGGACTTAACCTTATTCTCCCTTTCCACAGCTTAACACACACACGCTCACTGACGGACACATACTCACAGTTGGTTGAAGTTTTGCACACAGTCTCTTTCATGCTAGCGTGAGAAACCCTAAATTTATCTTTTAAAAAAAATATTATTTCTGCCTAATTTCCCATTACCTCAGCACTCCCTCTTCTGAGTTTAGATTAAGGTCTCGAAGGATATTGGGTGCCACAGGGCCAGCCAAGCGTGAGGCCTACCTCCTTCCTGCTTGGAGGGATGGGATGGCAGTTGGGTTTGGCTCTTGTCTCTCTCTTTTGCTGCAGGATATCTTGCTGACTTCTCCCGAAGCCTGATCCTCCAAGAGGACAAAAGTCTCCTCAGACTTGGAAGCTTGACGAGCCTGCCAGTGCCTAGAACCTGGCGCCCTCAGCCACTGGAAGTGGAAGAAGGTTTTGTCACTCTGTGCAGCAGCCCAACCCTTGTGTTCTTTGTTCTCTCTTGACAGAACCAGCTTCTTGCAAAAGGCCTGTTGTTCGTGGAGGAGAAGATTAAGCTGTGTGAAGGCAAGTACAAGGCAGCCCACGTATAGCGGGCTCTGTGACTCAGCCTTTGGTGTTTGGACAGCTGAAATGCTTCTGTCCAAAAGTGGCAGGCTCCAAGGGAGTGATTCACGCTGACCGTGTCTCCTCCAGCCAGGCGGCCGCACTCGCCCACAGTCGGTCGCTCGTGGCAGTGCGAGTCCGATCCATATTTTGAGAAGTCCTGTGGAATCCGGGTGGTCTTCTCAGAGACCTTGTTGAGGGTTCTCACCGGGTACATGCTGGCGGTCTCCTGGGAACGGATTAATTACACTACAGATCCTGCCACGCCGCTCCTTCTGGTCTGATTCAGGCTGTTCTCAATTGGCCTTTTTCATGTTTCTTGAGGTCTTCTATGACAGGAGGCCCCTACCCATTTGGGGGACTGTATACCAGGCAGGTACCTGCTGAATGAGGTCTGATTTGATGGGCAAAGGAAGGTTCCTGGACTTAAAATGTTTTAGAGCCCATGGGACAGGATGGAGAGGCACCGAATGGAGGTGGGAGGTGGGACCAAGGCAAGAATTGGCCAACCCCATGACTCCGGATCCTGAGAAGCTGGATCCTGATCTTAGCTCACCACCTGTTGCTTGGGGGACTTTTGGCAAGTTTCTAGTTTCTTTGTATGTTTTTTTTTTTTAATCATTTTTAAAATGATACAATTTTGAAAGGGAGTGTAGGGAATATAATAGGTGTAACCCCATTATCTGGCATGTAGTAGGTCCACAGATGGGTTTGTTTTTTTTTTTCCACTACTCTAGCCTAGAAACTTCTACTAGAGGTCAAATCTACTACTGCAGATTTACTACTGGACACAGACATAGCGGGCAGGAGGGTGTGCCTTTTTTTGCCCCCTCATGCAAGCAGGGAGGAGGTAGGAGAGGGAGAGAGGGAATCCTAAGAGGCTCCACACCTGGTGCTGAGCCTGATTCAGGGATCGATGTCACAACCCGAGATCATAACCTGAGCTGAATTCAAGAGTCAGATGTTCAACCCACGGAGCCACTTGGGTGCCCCCCGCCCCCCCTGGCCAAGGCCTTATTTTTAAGTGACTGGCCTTGACGAGAAGAAGTCTGTGCCCCTTTTGCATGTTGGGGTCAGGCTGGTACACCAGCGTGGTAGGTGGCTGCCTCAGAAAGGGAGGGAAGAGAAGCACATGGTCTGTGGCCATGGTATTTGCTTGGAAGTCATCTGGAGAGTTATCACAAGCTCCTAGAAACGTGGAAAACCAGCTTCGTGAAAAGGATATCGAGCGAAACTGGAGCTGTATGGTGCTTTTAAAGGGAAGTTCAGGGCCTCTCATTTGAGTGATGCTCGCCATAAATACATATAGAATGAAGGCTCAGGAATGCCGGTCATCTGAGGTTCTGTGCCTCTGCCCCCACAAGCGCCCTACGGGGCAGTGGGCCGGGCGTTCTCCCCGGGTCTGCTCTCATCCAGGCATCTGAGCGGCTCTATTGCACAGCCAAGGGGCCTGTGGAAAACCTGTAAGGGCCTAGCCTGTCTTCCGAACATCCCCACTTTTTATGTTATGTACTGCACCTCCAAGAAATATTTTATTCAGCTAAAAGGATCCTCTGGCTCTATTTTTTAAGATTTTATTTGTTTATTTGACAGAGATCACAAGTAGGCAGAGAGGCAGGCAGAGAGAGAGAGAGAGGAGAAAGCAGGCTCCCTGCCAAGCAGAGAGTCCGATGTGGGATTTGATCCCAGGATCCTGAGATCATGACCCGAGCCGAAGGCAGAGGCTTAACCCACTGAGCCACCCAGGTGCTCCGGATCCTCTGGCTATAAAACGTAGCTCAGAAACCACGGATAGTATCCATCCTTTCACGGAACAGACCTCCCTGTTTATGCACCTGCAGCATAACGGCCGCAGAACCAACACACACAGCTCCTCTCTGGGCAGGCTCTGTCATGATAATTCCAGTGACATTTGCCCAAGCTTTAGCAACCTTGACCGTGAGGAGTTTCTCATTCCCCTTCTGTAGACGTGCGGCGGTCAAAACTCCCGTGGCCCATTAAGAGGAGAGTGTCTGTAGGGTGTCTATCTAGAACCTTCCATCCAGTCGCCCTTCATCTTTGCAGGAAGCTGAGTCCTCTGGGCTGTTTTCTGAAGGTGAAGTCACCTCCTTGTAACTCTCTTCCTCGGGGCTACCCTGTTTTGTTAGCCTGTGTTTGTCTGATGTTCTCCTCTGAATGCTTTCCAAAACGTCCATTACTCTGTGAAGTTTGAAAGCAGCAGTTAGACCCAGGTTCCCAGGAGAGGTGCCTTCCTGCTGCTGGGTGGAGGGATTGCCACGTGTGCCGACCAGCGTTCTGTCTTGGTGGTAGAGGGGAGTCCGTAGGCACCAGCACTGACCTGCAGGGGTCCCCTTCCCTTCCTCCATTTCCAGAATGCCTCTGTTTGTCTGCCTCGTAGAAGGCTTAGGATACAGGCCATCAGTAAAGGACCTGGAGGAGCCCTTTCTCCTGGGAAGGACGTTATCCAGGTGTTGGGTTCACCTTGTTCTTGGGTACCAGGATGAGAGCTAACATCTCAGATGTTCCTTTTGACCTCCTCAACTCCTCCCTGCTGTGAACTAGCATAGCCTGTGTTTGAAAAGATCTGTGCATTCAGACATTGATTTTTGGTCAACTACGTACCAGGCACTTTGCTAGGTGCTGGGAACACTGTGCTGAACAAAGCCATTGTAGGATTCCAGGCCCTTGTGGAGCTCACAACCAGTGGTGGAGAGAGATACTTATCAAATCATCATCAAATATAAAACTGTAATTGCAACAGGTACCAAGACTATAGTCCATAGGGGGAAGGTTTGACCAGTGGGCGGGACTTTGCTATAGAGGCTGTATTGGAGCTAAAACTAGAGGGACAGACAGATGTAAGTCAGGCAAAGAGTGGAGTGGGGGCTGGAGAACAGGCTAGGCAAAGGGACTAGCACATGCAAAAGCCCTGTGGTTTGAAGGATCATGGTGAGCATTAAGGGCTGAGGTAAAATCCATATAGTAGGGCCCAAAGGTCAAAGGGAAAGGTCAAGGGTAAGGTTGCAGAAGAAGGAAACAGACTCCTGCCCCTGCCCACCAGAATGCCCATTTTGTAGAGGTTTTCTTGATCTAAGAGCAAAGGAAAATGTCGGAGCAAATTATTTAGTCCTGTTCTGCCCTGTCCCATATTTGGATTAAATGGTAACCTCCTTTCAGTCACCGGCCTTAGCATCTGGGAAAACTTAAACACTTGATCCTTGCCATTCATTTACTGAAAGATTTCTAAAAATGGATTTATTGATCTGTCTGGCATTGTGCTAAGCACTAGAAATAATAATGGTGAGCAGGACGGACAGGGCTCATGCGCTCATTCCCGTTCTAGTGGAGGGGACAGAGAAGTCAATAAGCAATTCCAACTGACTGTAATTAGCAGTCCAGGAGGGAAATGAAAGGGTGCTATGGATTTGCATTTTCCCCCCTAGTGTGTTTCTCTCTGACCTTTCAAACTCTGCACATCTTCGGCCCTGCTCACTGCTAGTTACGCCCTTGCCCTGCTCTCTCTCCCAGCCACTGCTTTTATATCCATTAAATTAATAGGCGGAAGATGCTAAATGAATCTTTCAAGATCTGCTCAGTGGAACTGGCAGTGTTTTGCCAAACGCATCTCTCGGTGTCTAATCTTGGCTGACCCAGTTTCTCTGCTTCAGATGAGCAAAGACAGTGCTCAATCAGCTCTGTCATCTAGGTCATTAAAAAACAGCCACTGTGCGGGCCCCTCTCTCTGCCCGTGCCCGCCTTCCTGCAGTTGCAAAGTTTCTGGCACTGCCTTCCGGTGGCATTGGGGTGACCCGTGTACAGGCAGCCCGGGACTGGTGCCTGTGGTGCCTGACCGTGGTCAGCCTTCTGGGTCCCAGGGGCGAGAGTAGGCGCAGCATCAGGTGGGTCCTGTGTCTTGCAGGTGACCACTGCAGAGTGTGCTGTCTACGTCCCACCCTCCACCTGGCCTCTGGTTATTGCAAACCAGTGGGTGGAAGTGGTACTTTCTAGGTCCTTCTTTCTTCTCCCTGTACTGATAGCTCGAATCCAGAATTTAAAAAACAAAAAAACCAAAAACAGTGTTGTCATGATTAGAAAATGAAAACGGTAAATAACTGTGCCCATGATCCTCCCAGATTAACTCTGTCAAGAGCATGGGTTCTGGCATCCCAGCTCTGCCTTCTAGCTGTGTGACGTTGACCTAGACCCTTGGCCTCTCTGAGCCTATAAAATGAAGTTACAGAGTTCACTCATGAAATGGCCTATAGATAAGTTGTTTAGCACAGTGCCCGAGAATGTTGTAACCATTCCCATGATGGCACCAGTTGTCATGTGATTTCCAAACTTCAGCTCCCTTTTCTGGCATGGGGGATAGAAGACATATTTGTCTTTCTTCCGTGAAGTCTTCCCATCTAATCCCACATTTACTTGTAGTAATGCCTCCCAGGGCAAATGTAGATAATGAGCTTCTTCTATATCCCTGTCCCCGTGCTGCATTTGACCACGGGACTGTCTCTGCCTGTCCTGCAAGTAATGATAAATTCTTTTCTTTCTTTCTCCCCTCCCATCTTCTCGCCCTCGTGTAGGTGAAAATCGCATTGAGGCTCTGGCTGAAATGTGGGACCACTTCTTCACTGAGACTCTCCCCACCCTGCAGGCAATATTTTATCCAGTTCAGGTCAGTCTCACTGAGGAACGACCTCCTGCCGGCCTCGGCACTCTGTCTCCTTCCTTGGCCTTTGGCCAGCTGGGGCCTCCTGGTGAACGGGGCAGAGGCAGGACGTTGGGCGCCTGAGTTGGCTAAGGACCTCGGCGCTCTCTGGAGGGCTCTCTGGTCTATGTTTAGCATCTAACCTCAAGCAAAGGGAGAGTGCCCGCTTAACCAGCAATTTGTAGGCTCTCGTCATGCTCTTGGTTTTGAGTCTGCCTGTATATTCTTGGAGCGGTTTGTTTTAGAAGTAGAGAAGATGGGGCAGGGAGACTTTTCTCTTTTCTCTTTTCTTTCCCCTCCCTTTCTTTGAAGCCCACGGATGCTGCTGTCCCGGATTGTGGGAAGGGAATCATGTTGCTTGCCTTCCATAAAGCATGGATGCCTGAAGGCGAGTAGCCACAGGAGGGAGCAGAAAGGACACTGGTAGCTGGGCTTGGGCAAACTCGTTTCATTTCTCTGCTCAGAGCTCTGTTTCATCTGCAAAATATGGGACTTCCAGCGAAAAATGAGCAGCATCTCCTTGGTATTCTTATTCTGTGACCAGAGCTTATTCTAACACTTGAGTTGACTTCCTCCACCTTCTTGCAGAGGCTGATAACAGGACTGGTCACTGCCCGGTCAGAATGGACACCCCTGCAGTCAGGTTGACTGATAGATTGTTCTCCCCAAGATTCACATCTCTATCCTCCATTTATCCTGCACCCGGTCTGCCCACTGGGGTGAAGGTGCAGATCTCATGGGGGCTTTGTTGAAGGGTGGGTGTAGGGCCCCGCAGCAGCACAGCCCTTGGCAATGACGTGAGCTGGACATAAGGGCCCACATGCTTTTCTTGCTCTGGATGGTGTTGTATGGGAACTTGGAATTCCATTAAATATATATCAATATCTAAAAATTGGGAGGTTATGCCTACAGAGTCCGTATCCCATTTCTGGCCTGCCCTGAGTAGTTCCAGGAAGAGCTCTGACCGTTAGCTCACTGGTCTCTTCATCCCCTCCTCAGCTCCGTCCTGTGCCCCTCTGAGAGGGTTTGGAGCGTGTATGGGGTCATTTCAGCTCCGATCCCTACAGATGTCCCCCTCCCGGTAATGGTCACTCCTAGGCCCGTGTTGGGTCCTAAGAAGACCAGCCTGGGTGGTAGCGTGGCCAGAGTTAGCAAATAATATTATAAGATGCCGAGTTAAATTTGAATTTCAGATAAACAATGAATAATGCAAAATCTAGCACATACTTCTACTAAAAAATTATTCACATTCAACTGGACATTCTCCGTTTTATTTGGCAACCCTATTGGAGGGGGTGTGTACACCTGAGTGTCTGTCTTAGGACCCCATGAGCACGGAATTCCAAGGTGTGGGTATCCGGATGGGTTAGAATGGGAGTGTGGCATCTGAGTGGGTGTGGCCTTGGTACAGTCACCAGATGGCCAAGAAGGGCCCTCACTGACATATATCCAGGCGGGATCCCAGTTGTGTGGGTCTGGGATGTTACCAGCTGCTTCTCTTGGAAAATTACAAGCTCCAGTGATAGTTGACTTGCCCCTGTCCACCCTCTGTCCCCCACACAGTTTCCCAAGTGCTGCTGCTGACCCAGACACCCCACCTCGAGAGGCCCGGAGTTAGGGGTCCTCATTGCTGATAGTAACACACCCAGATGTCTGTCAGGTCAGCTCGATCCTCCTTAGAGCCCCTGTCTGTGTAGGTGTCTGTGTCAGACCTAGTTCCTCTGTGGACAGACGGGGTTTTGAAGACCTACTGTGTTCAAGGATGTGGAAGCTTGCCTTCATTTTCCTTCCTTGGAAAGCAAAAGGAACTTGGGAGATGAAGCGAGGGTACAGATAGTTACGAGGTCAGAGGTCAGTGTGGACTGTATTGCCTTGGAAAAGGCAAAGTTGGGGGGAGCACCGCTGCCATTGGAGACATGCAGGGAAGGCAGTCAAAGAAGGGGTGTTTGACCCAAGCCTGGAAAGTGCCAGGGGCGGTTGTGTCTATCTCTGGGGACAAAAGCGGGCAAAGAGGAGGGGATGAGGGGAAAACAAAAGCACTCTGTGTTTCTGGGAAACCCTGAGGAGTTCTAGTAAATGTAGATCTTCCTTAAGCCTTGGCGGACCTAAGGGATGAAAAGTGACATCCTGTTTCGCAGGTCCCTTCTGTTCTCCTTGGCTCCGCCAAGAGCAGCCCATTTTGGGTGTGTGCTGTGTGTATACGTGCAGAGGGTAGTCTAGGGGAGAGACCTTCTTTTCTCTTTCTGTTTGAGAAACTTCGGGAGCCCTAAAATCAAAGAGTTAAGGTTTGAGATCTGGCTCTACCCTGGGGCTAGAACCATAACTCTGGGCTCAAGGGGTTTCGTGTGTGAAGTAGGTTTTATACCAGTACGTATCACGAAGGGTGGGGATTAATCGTGTTAGTTCCATCTAAAATATTCAAAGTCCTGCCTAGCACCTGGAGCTTAGTAAATTGTCAGCTCTTAGGATTATTAGTTATTTCCACCCCCCACCCACACCCTGCGTGGTCAGACTCGTCCCTGCCTTTTCCTTCTTGGCCTGGTGCAGGCTAAGTGCTCACATACTGAACAGAGTTGAGGAAGCAGCCTGGAAGGGGGGGGGGGTTGGTCTTTTCTCTCGTTTCCCCCCATCTTCCTCTCTCTTCCTCCTTCCTGACTGCCCCCCCCACCAAACTCATGACAGCACGGTCCCCATTTATGTGTCTTGTGTCATCTTGGGTCACTTAGGCAGGTCGAGTCACACCTTACTGTAAACGAAGCTTTCCTTGGGGAGGACCAGGGCCAAGTCTTTGACTCTTTGGCAGCGTTCCCCCTGCTCCCCAAGTTCTGCACATACCTCGTCTTGTCCCATCTTGGTGTTCTGTTCATACTGGGTGTCCTGGACCCTGTGTTGGTGGCCTGTCCAGCTAGCTCTCACCTCTCAGTGCTGCCCCCTCTCTCCTCTCCAGGGCCAGGAGCTGACCATCCGTCAAATCTCCCTGCTGGGCTTCCGTGACCTGGTGCTGCTGAAGGTGAAGCTGGGGGATGTGCTGCTGCTGGCCCGGTCCCCACCACCCCCGTCCATCGTCCAGATGCTGCTCATCCTACAGGTGGGTGAGGCCCCCTGGTGACATGGCCACCAGGCTGGGTTAGGAAGAGACCCTATGGGACAGGGATGGGACTGGGTGACCTGGGCACCTTAGCTCAGCTCTTATGCTAGAGTGTCATTATTCCTGTTCCTTAGTGCGTGTGTTCATTTGTTGCACCTGTAAGGCTGTGCTCCGTGCTGGGATCCCAGTTGTGGGGGGACATGGCTTGGGAGGGGGGGCACGAGAGAACCAAGGTCCTGTCATTCAGGGAGCAGACATGCTCCCTCCTGACCCGTGAGCCACAAGGAGCACGTGACAGCAAGCGCCCCCTGCAGGTGAGTGGAGCCAGACTATAGTCACTAGAAGGTTCCGAGGGACAGGTGGGCGTCGCAAGTCTACAGGGGGAAGCGAGACCACGTTAGACCCCAAAGCTACCAGCCTCTCACCACCTGCTGGTCTTTCCCTGTTTCTCCGACCCCGGGAAGACCCTGCCTGGTGTCTCTTGGACCGAGTGTCTCTGTCTCTCCCCCTCCCTCTGCAGACTTGCATGCATTTCCTCGGTTTGCATGTGGCCAAATGTGGCATCACACACACAGCTCATGTGTTTCCAACGAGAAATGACCCCCATGGTTGCCTCTTCCTCCCCATTCTGTATCAACAGTAGGAAGATGAGCTAGGTACCGGGTGCAGGCCCGAGACTTTGTGTGGTGTGCTCTGAATCACATCATCCAGAGGATTGCTCTGTAGGTAGTCGGTGTTGCTATTCCCATTTCCCAGGTGAAGAAACAGGAACCCAGGACATGTGTGCTGGTCCAAGGTTCCTCAGCCAGAAGTCGTAGGATTCAGAGCTGTGTCCACTCAGGGGAAGGCACTGGATTAGTCTAGCCCTGGCTGCCCAACTCTCCTTTGCCAGTCAGCTGTGACCTTCAGTCAAGTATATAAATATGGCCTCAGGGAACCCAATCCTATGGGTGGGGGTGCACGATTCCCACAAAACAGAGATGTGGTCAGGGACCTCCCCCCCTCCCCCGCCGCAAAAGATGGCTCCGGTGCCTCCATCTCTGTAACAAGTTCAAACGTCACAACGTTGGGTCTGAGCTGCTCCCTGGGGCAGCCGGTGTCACCCTTGCTCAGGCTGGCGGTGACCCCATTGCCCTGCAGCAGACATGGGGTCAGGTCTCCCTCTTCTCCAACTGCTGTTCTCTTCTGGGTCCCTGAGCTGGGCCACCCTTCTGGGCCTTCTCCTCCTTTCCTGAAGTCCCAGAGGAGCACGAGTTACCTAATAAGATGAGGATACTTGTCATTGGCTGGAGAACCAGGTCGGGTGTTTTCCAGGCAGGAAGGAGAAGGAGGAAGGTCTGGAAAATATGGGGGAGGGTTCATGTCTGAGAAGCGTAAAGTGGAGCTTGCATCCCGAGTGAGGAGTCTAGAAAATGACCCCTTTGGGGTTCAGATGGGAAGATTGGGAAAGAGAAGTTGAGCATTCCCCTTCTTATTTCCGTTTATGCTGTTTTAAGGACGAGAGGTGATTTTTTGTTGTGGGTGCTGTTTTGTTCTTGGAGGGAGACTGGGGGTGAGGGCCCCCACCTGCTGATAGCAGCCCAGGAAGGCCTCTGTCTGTGCTCGTGAAAAACATCCAGCATGTTCCCACATGGGACAACCCAACAGCCATATTGGAAGGCTGCCCTCATCCCCTTGCAGCCCCACAGGGGTTGGCCTGCTTGCCTAGGAGACGCTTCCTTCACCCACCCTCGCCTCTAGCCCGCGTTGCTCTCCATGGGGTTCCCGGTGATCTTAGGAGAATGGCCTGATCTGTGTCCTCCCACCTCCCTGGCCTCACCTAGAGCCTCTGGTCACACTGGTCCCTTTGCCTCCCCCTGCAGCAGCAGAGTCTTCGCACTTGGGTTCCCTCTGCTGAGAACACTGTCTCCCGGGGCCCACAGCCATCTTCCAGTCAAGGCAGGTCCGTCCATGTTCTCTTCCCTCTTATGCTTTCAGCACCCAGCATGTGGTAGGCACGTGGTAGGCACGTGGTAAGTGTTAATGAAACATGTCCGATGAGGGATAGCACAGCTAGCGAGAGCCTGAGCAGGACTGACCCCAGGCCTCTGGCCTCCCTCCAGTCCCCTGATGGTGACCATCGTGCAGGGATTTCTCTCCTGGCCAAGGGAAGGAAGTACAGAGAAGCTCTGTGGTTGGGACAGGTGTCTGGGAAGTTGAGCAAGGGGACAGTCCTTGTATTCCTATTTTCGCAGATGAGGTGAAGGTTCAGAGTTGGTCAAGCATCTTAAGGTCACATAGTAATTTATAAGAGAGTGAATCTGTCACCCATCCCTCAGCCCTTGGTCTTTCTATCTACCCATCCGGCCTTGTTCAGGTACCACGGCCTCCCTCCTATGGTGCCCTAGGCCCTGGGAGAGACCGCAGAAGCTTCTAAGATGGTCCACTGTCATTCTGGTCATTTGGCGCTGTTTCCCGGAAGGTCTCTTGGGACGAGTCCTGACTCTTGTTCTTCCTTACTCTGGAAACTGTAAAGCCCAGAGCTGGGAATGTGACAGGGACGAATAGGGATCCTTGCCCCGTCCGGGTCTATCTTCCTGAGCAGCAGGACGGCAGCTGCTGGGTCTGAATGCCCTGGGACCATGCCCACTGCAGGAAATTGGGGCCCCAGTCATTAGAATTGCCCCCTTCTCTCCCCAGGCCCCACTTGCCTCAGTGCCACGAGATCTGGAGCTGATTTCTCCTCGCCTGGCCCTCACACAGCAAAAAGAACCATTCCCCAGGCCTTCAGGTGTCCCTTTTCCGCTGCTCTTCCAGATGTCCCGGAACAAGCCCCTCCCTCCCCAACACGTGCAAGGGCTGCCAAGTTCCCTGCTCTCTGGGTGGCACGCTTCTGTCCCCAGGCTGCCCCAGGGAGAGGCTGGGCCTGGGATCTGGTTCCTCCTGGCCGGTGCCGCCAGGCCCTGAGATCATCCTGGGACAGTGCCTTCCGAGGGGCTCCCGTGCAGTCACCCGGGGTCCCCTGCCAAGCAGGGTCCCATGCTCGGTTTACTCTCTCCCATCGCCGTCTTGAAATGCCTAGTAATTCTTGCACAAGGGACCCCACCCACATTTTCATTTGGCGCTGGGCCTGCCTGGCAGCTGGGCCGAGGGCTGTGTGCAAGTCAGGTTGTCCGCGGCTGCCCTGGGAGAAAACTGCCCGGCTCCAGACCATGCGCGTGTTACCATTTTCGCCCCACCTCTTGTCTCTTCCCCTTTCTCCATTGTCCCTCTCTTGTTGAGTCGAGAGAAGGCTTGGGGCGATAAGGCAGAGGAGAAATATCAAGGAGGAAAAAAATTGAAGGAAAAAAAAAAGTCTCCTCAGCTCTGAACACCAGTCAAGGTGGTTTTGGGGCTGAAACGGCCTCAGTTTGAGTCCTGAGTGGTTTCCAGGGAGCCTGAGGAAGGTTCCCTTCTCCCTTCTGCGGCCTGGAGGAGTCCTTTCCTGGCTGAAGTGCTTTCCCTCTTCATTTCCACTGCTGGATTTTACAGGGCTTCAGCCCAGGCCGAGGGCCAGGTGTCAGAGCCCAGGGCCTGCCTCCTGCCTCCTCCTCCTGCCTCCCCCCTCCTACCCCCATGCAGTGCTGGGCAACCTTCACTGCGGCCTGTTTTTTCTGCATGTCCTCCCTTCTGACCCCCTCCCGTCCCGGAGTCTTCTGCCCCATAACCCCCTTCCCTAGCCTGTTTGTGTTTTCTTAAGCCAACCCCCCTCCCTTCCACCGCCCCCAGCCCTCCCTGTCTCTGGGGGGAAGGAGCTGACATGGGCCAAGTCAGCTGGCATCCAAGGGAGCCTCCGCCTCACCCACCCATCCCGAGCCTGTGGGACGGGTTCTTCTGGCTTCATCCTCCCACCACCATCTTTTCCTCCCATTCCCCCAAACTCCAGCATGGTGGGGAGTTCTTACTTTTTAAGTGAAGGTGATGTGTCCTCCCTTCCGATGTGAGCCTTCGGTGGGACATCCTATTGGGCTGAGCACAGCTCTGCTCCCCTCCAACTCCTCGATACCCAGCAAGGCTTCGAGTCCTTTCCAGAGAGAAACTGGATTCCCTAAGAGTCTGCTGGTCTTCTGGAGAACCTTGGTCACTTTTGGTCTCCCTTTTTTGTTTTTGACCATGGTCATTGGTGTTAGTTGGCGTTTGCCCAGGCTTAGCCCTGAGGACGCCTGTCATGTTGGGCTTTTGAACTGACTCTTCATCTTGATGCTAAATTCTATTCCCCGTTCTTTTCTAGCCTCCTTAACAAGTAGCGGTAAGATGGGCTCAGAGCCAAAGCAGCCTGCATTCCAGTCCTGGGTTACACGAGCCCCCTGGGTCTTAACTTTCTTGTCTGCAGAAGGGGGATGATGGGGGCATCTGGCTTCTTGCATTGTTGAGAGACCTCTGTGCTTTGGTCCATGTAAAGTGCTTGTGCAGAGTGCCTGCCGAGCGTGAAGCAGCCGCTGTGAGAGTGGGGTGGGACGACTGCGGTCGGGACCAGTCAGACCTCAGCCCTGAGCTGGCGTGTCCCGTCTGCCCTGCGTGGCTGGGGCCCGGTGGGAGGAGATGCCGTGGGGGCACAGTTCTGATTACTGTGACCTGTGGCAAGTGACTCAGGCTTCGGGCCTCAGATTCCTTCATTCCAGCCAGGAGGATGCTGCCTGCTGGTGTCCCCGCTTCGAATGTAGCAGGAGGGCAATCGGGATTTGCTGGCTGGGTGCCAGCTGGCCCTGGCCGCTTTTGACTGACCTTTGTCTCTCTTGGCTGTTTATTTCCAGAGTGTCCATGAGCCCACGGGCCCCAGTGAGGGTTATTTGCAGCTGGAGGAACTGGTGAAGCAAGTGGTGTCTCCCTTCCTGGGCATCAGTGAGGACCGCGGTGTCTCGGGTCCCACGTACATGGCGGGTAAGGGGCAAGGCTCTTGGGTTGCGGGGATCCCCCGTTGAGAGCTGCCAGCGATGTCTTCCTGAGCCTGGACGGTGCCACAAGCTCTTTGCTGCTGCTGTGGGTCCAGGCCGATCTGCGCGTGTTAATAATCACTTGTGTTTCCCGCTGGCCTGTGTCGCGGTAACCTCCCCGCCTCACGATCCCTCCTGGGGGACTGATGCTGCGCCTCTGTGGTCTTGCTTGTCTGATCTGCATCTTTGATCGGTGGCTTTGATCTTTTTTGTGTGCCTGCGGTGTTCGTTTTTCCGTACATGATAACCAGAAACTGCCTGGTTGCAAGCATCCCCCTACACACTTGAGTAGAAAAACCGCCAGTAGTGGATTTTCCCTTGAAAGCAGTTTGAGATGGGAAAACAGCTCGTTTTGTGTTCGGCCTGATGAAATGGAACTGCTGTTCCCCCCTCCTTGTCTGTAGGTACCGCCAAAGCCTATATGCCAAGGAAAGGTGCTCCTCCATGGGGGGCAAGTCCTGTTGGTGGCTCTAAAGCCAGCATTAGTGTCAGCCTCTGCACTCTGCACCCTGGAGAATCTAGAGGTGGATGGGATCTGTTCCTTCTCTCTGTGAAACTGCAGTCCAGATGCAGAAATAGTCTTATAATAGGCTTATCACAAGACACATTCTTCAGTTACCTTTTGAAATGAGAGCCCCCCAAATGCAGGAATTTTCCTATCTGCAGCAACTTTAATGCTGGTTCGCATATAGTAGGCACTCAAAAACTTATCTATTTAGGTGGGTGACAGGCAGTTGTACCCCGGGCAGGGGAGACCAGCACCTACACAGAGGGGCAGAGGCGACAAGGGATTCCCTGAAATTGGAATCTTTTGCCCCGCTCCCCTGGATTCTGTGGAACTGTAGCTGAGCTTCAAAGGAAAGGGCGGAGGAACTGTGTCCAGCGAGGTTCCGCCCCTCCCTGGGCCTCACCACTGCAGGAAAATCAGGGCTGGCTGTCTGGTTTCCTGGCCCCTTCATGTGTCTCTGGAGATACCAGCCACCACATATCTGGGGTGCTGGCCCCAGCCTCCTGCTGGGTTCTTCTCCCACCCCCACTTCCTCTTGATCACTGGCTCATTCCACCCAGGAGCGGGTGCAAGCCAGAGTGACAATGCCAGCTGAAGGAAAACTGTCCCCCCGCCTCCCCAGCCATGAGCAGGCTGCCGCGTTTCTCTGCCCTCCCTGGAGCCCACCTTCTGGCTTTGGCTCAGCCCTAACCCTAACCTGTCTATGGCGGGAGGAATCAGGCAGATATCAGGATACAAGCCGGTGAACTGGGCCGTGGCAGGGACCTGGCCATTAGCTGGGCCTAGAGCCAGGATTAAGGATAGATTTGGAAGTTTGTTCAGGAGTACTTACTCTAAGAAGGGATGCTTTTGGCTTTCCAGTTAAACTCAGAATAATACATACTTTTGGCAAATGATAAAGGCCTGAGGTTTTCTTATACCAAGGACAGTCCTCACGTCTGGGCTATTGTCTCAGGAGGTGCGGAGGGGAAAGAAAAGGACCCTTTTTGATTGTTTTATTATTATTGTAGCAAATGTGTCCTGAGGCCCTCCCCCAGGTGCCGTGTGAGGTGTGGTGCTGCGGGTATACCCATGACTCAGACTGACCCGTCACTGCCCTGTGGCGTGCACAGTCCAGGGGGGAAGTCACAAACAATAGATCACAAACAATGATTCATTTGTGTACAGGGACTCTTGGGGGTGGGGGGAAGCTCATCAGCCAAGGGGCCCTTCACCTGGACTGGGAGATCAGGGGAGGCCCCCCCAAAGGAAGTGATACCTGAGATGTGTCCTGTAGGTTGAATTTGAGTTAATCTGCCGTCCCCGTTTACTCAGTTGTCCCAGGCAAAGGGAAGGATCTTTGGGAGAGCTCTGGGGTAGGGCCAGTGGGGAACCAGGAGGTTGGAGCCTTTGAGGAACTGAAAGACCTTCAGAGTTACAAAGTGGCCTGTGTTCGGGGAAGGCTCGGCCACAGACTACCTCTTGGGCAGGCCCTCTGCCGGGTGGGCTAGATACCCTACCACAGGAGTGGGCCCCACTGTACCCATTTTGCAGGTGAGGCAAATGAGGATTAAGGTCGTGTGGCTGTTGGAGCTGGGATTTCAAAGCCCCACGTTGGTCGCACTTGAGCAGCTCTCCTACGTGCTCCAACCTCACCCCTGCCTACCCCTGTCAGTTTCTAGAAGCTGATGGTGATTTTTACCGAGGGACAGCTGAGGGGGTTCCCCAGCCCAGAAGAGTTCCGGGGCCAGACCTTTCACCCTGAACCTCTGCATACTGAACAGCTAAAATGGTCACAGTGGAGCCCTTCCCTGTTGAGGACACCCCTTTGCCAGATAAAGTGAGGACTCCCTGAGCCTCAGTCTTCCCCTTAGTAGAATGGAGACCATAACCTCTGTCTTGCCTGAAGGAGAGGAGCGCAGAGACCACCAACCGGAGTGTAAAGCCCCAGGAAGGGTTTGCCGTGGTCTACTCAGGGCCCATCCGGGGCTGGGCATGGTCCGGGACGGCTGGAGGGCTCATCTCAGAAGCCACCACTTACCAGATGCCTGTCGTGCCGCAGGTGCCGCCCAGGTGCTTGTCTTCATTGTACAGCCTGCTGAGGGGTGGCTGCTGTGTTGACCTCAGGCTCCGACTTGGGAAGAAAGCTCCTGAGGAGTGGTTCCCGGGAGGTTTGGGGGCAACTGCCCAAGCCTGTTTGACTCCATGGGGATGCTTGGAAAGGCCCTCTTGCTGTGAGACAGGCCAATGGGTTTGTGAAGGGAGCCTCACTCACTGAACATGCAAGGCTTGGGGTGGCAGAGGTGGGGCGGGTGGCAGGGCTAGAGAGAGAGAGAGAGAGAGAGGAGTCGGAGGCTCATGTTGAAGTCATGCTGGAGCGACTGTATGATATATGGTTCTCCTCCAAAGCAGTCACCTTCCCAGGGCAGTGGGGATGTGGTGAGGAGGAAGGGTGAAAACTTTAAAAAATAAGTAAATAAAAATTTGTCAGAGGCCAGGACCACATCCTACTTTCCCAGTTCCCAGAGTTTCCAGGCGGCTGGCCTGGCTGCTTCCGGGGCCCTCGGAGCAAACACTCAAGAACACTCAGTGTGCTGTGTTTCTCCCCCGCAGAAGCCCGGCCTCCCACAGATCTTCCTCCGTTATGTCTCCACGGGGAGGGCCCTTTTCCTCAAGATACTGTAACTTCTCCTCAGGACAAGTAGGCTTTCGTGGGCTTCCAGGTGCCCGGGGCCCGGAGAGATGCTCACAGTAGGCTTGGTGTGCGGAAGTCACAACACCCACATTATGGCGGCCGCTCCTGCACGCCTGGGAGATCAAAGGCCTGGGAACCGAGGGCCCCTCAGAGGCACTGAGGACCGCCTCATCCAGGCTCTGCTTCTCCGGGGGTTTGAAAGGAGCTGCCGTTGCCTGCTCCGGTTCGGGGGGATGAATGCCCGGAGCTCCGCGGGGCGCCTGGGGAGTGAGGAAGGAATAAAGGCTCCCCCAGGCCCCACCCCGTGTGAAAAGCAGGAGGCGGAGGGCTGGAGGTGGGTGCCAGCTGAGTTGGCAGGGCCCAGCTCCTCTCCCAGCTCGAAGGGCACCCCTGCAAGGAAAGGACACGTTTCAGCCCCCAGGGGGTGTCCACAGCTTAATTGGTCTCTCTTTAAGGGACATTTCCTTCTCTGAGTGGTATGGCCTGGCTCTCCCCAGTACAGACAAGAAGGCTGGGAAGGTGGGGGGCGGCCCCAGTGTGGGTAGCGGTCTCAGCTCCCAGCCCAGTGTGTGGCCTGACCCCACTGGGGACGCAGCTGACTTGCTTGTCTGAGGTTGACTCTGGAGTCTCGTGGGAGCTTATCGAGGAAACACTGTCTTCCCAGGGGACTCAGCACAGCCCAGCGGCCCCTGCGGTCTCTGTTCTGCCCACACCCAGTCCTGGGAATCAAAACATTCCCCCCAGAAGGCAGAAGAGTCCTAGGCCACTCCTGTGAGTCATGAGCAGGGAACAGCCTTACGGAGAGAGGCGGGGCCGGCCACAGAAGGAACTTGGCCTTGAAACCACAAGGGCTGGGCTTCTGCTGTGTGGCCTGGCATGAGTTACTTGAGTCTCTGAGCAGCAGAGGGATGAGCACAGAGAAGGAAGAAGGTGCCCTATCTCTAGGGCCCAGGCAGAGCTGATACCGGCTGGCTTATGGGCACTGGCTCGAGGGTGGCCTGGCCTCCTTGGAATCACTCCAGATGAGAGATGGTGCCTCTCCCTACATGGAGCCCAGACCACATCCTGGCCCTTGCCATGCTGTGTGGTCCTGCCTGATGACCTGTCAAGTCTCCCCCCACAGACCGTCAGCTCGCTGGGAGCGAGGAGCATGTGTAACCCCTCGGACCCCAGGCCCTAGCACGGCTCTCGGCTCTGAGGGAGCGAGTGAGTGAATGTCTGGGTTCTGTCCGTCTGCCAGTCTGGAACCCACCCCTCCGAAACGACTCCTCTTCAGGACTTCTCCTGACTTCCCAGTGAGCTCCTGCCTTTACCTCTGCCCTGCCATTGGTTGACCGTGTCTGCTTTTAATTCCCTTATAGGTCCCATACAGTATTGTATTAATACCATACTGTATTACAGTACAGGTATACAGTAGAGTGATTTGGTAATTCCGTACTCATTAACCTTGTACCCATTGACCTTGTCCAAACAGTTACTCGTGTATGGGCTTCCCAGCGGGCACAAGCGGGGGCTCCGCCATGAGCCCTCAGCTTGAACCCTGCTTCTATCACTAACAGGCTGCAAAGTCATTCAGCATCTTGACTTCAGGTTCCTTTTCTGCAAAATGGTCAGAAGACGAGCATGTCGATAAAGCACCTCCTTTTGTGATACAGTACCCCGCCCACAGTAGATGCTCGGCTCGTGACGGCTGCCAGGACCCAACCCCCCACCGCACATGGGCACACACATTCACGCACACGCACTGGGCTCAGGCCCCTGTGGCAGGCCCCGGGGCATGTTCACATTTCTCCCTCTCAGCAGTGACCGCAGGGTTTTGCACATCACAGTTCAGAGTTTCTGTCGAAGAAGGGGGCAGGTGTCCCAGGGGAGCTGCCCCTCACTGTGGCTCTAGCTCTCTCAGCAGCAGTTGAAGTGGCCTCTTGTCTTTGCTCCCTGTTAAACCTGCAAGGACTTTGGGCTTCTGGGATAACAGCAGGAGAGAGAGAGAGAGACGGGTAATGTCCAGGCAACCATCTGAAACACCTTTCCTGGCTCATTCTGCTGGGCTGGGGCCCCCAGAAATCATCAAACAAATGGTCATTTCCTCCAGAGATGCTGTGTGTGTCCACCGTCTGTCCCCCAGGCCCTCAGTTTACCCTGTGTCCCCATCCCAGCCTTAGCTCCTGCTCTCTCGTCTTCCTGCATCTGCATGTGAGCAGTGCTCACAGAATGGTCTAGCCCAGTCTCCAGCCCAGCTGGTTGAGGGTTTGGGCCACAATAGATTTTGCAACTGCCAGTCCTAGGTGCTTGCTTCTAACAGCTGGCAGGACACAAACGAATTGTTTTCAAGCGCATTTTTTTAAAGGATGGTTCGTTAATGGGATCCTGGCTTCTTTCTACTCTTCTGGTGCCTCTGTCTTATAGTTATTGATTTTTGTGATCATGAAAGAAATACATGGTTATTGTAACACTGTGGGAACATTATAGAAATGTTGAGGGTATGAGCACCCGTGCTCCCAAGAGAACCTCGGCCAATGCTTGACATGGATTCTTCTTCTTGGTTGCTCCTTGCCATTTTGTCTCCTATTTGTTCTTCCCCAAAGAGAAGAGCCACTGACCCAGCCTCTCCCGGCCAATACCAGCCTCTTGTTTGGCACCTCCTAGGGGATAGTGTCTGCTGTTCGTGGTGTCAGAGAGGAGTGCCTCTTCTGAGGGCAGCAGCAGAGCCCTGAGACACAGTAGCATGCTGTGGGGAAGGTCTGGGCACTGCTGTTCAGAGCCTACGAGAGTTGGGCTGAGCCTCAGTCTTCCTCATCTGAACAATGGGAAGAGTGAGAGTAGCCCAGTTGTTTCAAAGGGAGATTGGAACCCAGCAGTGAGAAAATGGATGGGAACACTCTGCATATCATTCTTTGGTTTTGAGAAGTAATTATTTATTACCTGTCCGCTCCCTTGGGGCTCAGAGCCAGCAGACTTGGTGACTCAGTCCTAAGGCTTAGGATTTCAACCTGTCTTCACTGAATGTGCATCGAGGTGTACGTGTGGACCTATAAAACTGTCCAGTGACAGGAGCCACCGAGAGCCTTGCAGACGGACACGCCCATCTAGGGAGCGTGAGCTCTGGAAGGGACAACAGAGCATGTCTGGGCCCTGCGGATCCATGGCAAGAGCCAAGAGTGAACTAAAGCAGAGTGGGCTGCATGTCCCCAAGGACAGTCTCTGAGCCGCATGGTTTCCTCTCCCTCTAGAATCCAGGTCTTCCCCTGGGATCCTGACCATGTGCAGAACACCACCCTGTCACACTTCTCCCCTGCTGCCCGCGGCCTCCCCTTGCTGAGAAAGGGATAGGTTTCTTTGGGGGTCTTCAGGGTCTCAGGGACATGGAATCCATGGAAAGCCAGGGCAGATGAGATGGGGTAGGCGGCTGGATGGCTGGGGAGGTGTGCACTGGTAGAAGGAGGAAGGTTGAACGGAACCCACTTGGTCCTCGGGCCTCCATTCTCAGTCCTCTGTCTCCCTGGGGTCCTCCAGCCGGCCCCTGACAGAGGCAGTGCCAATGGGGGGGAAGAGGAGGGGTGCCTCTTAAGGAGCATAGGAGGTAACCGCCCCAAGACCAAGGGGATGTAGGCTTGTCGTTGCCCCGGCTTTCCTCACTTCTGGCCTCTCAGGCTCCAACCCGGCGTAGCTCCTGCCATGTGCATCTTTCTGGAGCACAGCCTCCAACCTACCCCGTCCCCCACAGCTTCTCTGATCACAGAAGCTTCCATCTGGCTTTCAAGGGCTCTCCTGCTTGCTTGTGCATATCTTCCATGTTCCAGCCGGATGGCGCCCCTGGCTCAGACCTGGCTCAGGCTGCTTCTGGGGCTTAAAGTGGCTGTCCCTCCCCCTTCTGGGGGTTTCGCATATGGAAGGCCCAGCTCCAGGGTACGTCCTCCCCGACACATGGATCCGCTTTGTCCTGCCCCGGAACCCCATCCACTTGGCTCGCCCTTCCCTGGAGATCCTCAGCCCTTTCTAGTTACGTGTGCTTCGTGGGGGTCTCTGGGAAGAGTGAGACCTCACCTCACTCCCAGCCATTCTGCAGCCTCGCTGTGTGCACGTAGGTCAATTATCACCCCTCTGCTACTCCGTTTTCTCATCTGTAAAGTGGGGCTAATAGCATATCATGACTTGAGCTCCATTTTTAGGAGGAGTCAAAAGGCTCAGTCAAAAGAGGAGTGCATAGCAAGGCAGCTTCTGGAATGTGGGGGGCACGCAGGCAGGGCGGTTTTACATTAATTCGTGGCCAGGCCTCCCCTTTGGGGTCTGCCTCCACAAGGCCATCTGTGGAGCCTCGCCGGTTCCTTGGTGTTGACAAATGCTGCTGGAATTGCGGATGACTGGAACAGAACACTGGTGTCGGCCCCTTGACCTGGTGGGAGGAGCGTGTGGTCCCAGTCAGGATGTCCCATGGCCCTCGCTTTGATAGCCGAGGTCCTCTTAGCTGGACTTGGGCTTCAGGGGCTAAGTCATCGCTGTCACCCCAGAATCCCCTACTTCCTGCTGAACAGAGCCAGAGGGTGTCTTCTAGAAGCTGGTCTGGCCAGTGCCCAGGCCTTTAGAGGAGACTGGTTGAAAGGAAACAGGGCAAATGCAGTGAAGCTCGGGAGGCAGCTGGGAAAGAGGGGAGACACCCTAGAATGGGAGGCACCCTGGAAAGCCCTCTGGGCCCCCTGCGCTGGCAGGAGTGGGAGTTGGGGGCGCGTCCAGCAGGCGCAGGCATTGCTGCAAGAATAGCGTGTCAGGGTCCTCCCTGGCCTTTCAGCAGGTCTGTACCTGAAGCTGTTCCTGGATGTGGAGCCACCACCTCCCTCTTCCCCCAAATGGACGCGCCGGTTTTCCATCCCCGTCACCTGTCCCCAGTGATAGCCTTTGCCGGTTTGTCTCTTGCAGCCAGACGCCACTCCAGGGTCCGGCCCAAGGTCGCGGTCCTGAGCTACGCCTGCCCGACGACTGCCCTCAGCCGGCCCCTGAATGAGACAGCCCTGACCCCGCTGACGGAGCAGGAGGGGGAGGCCTATCTGGAGAAGTGCGGCAGTGTGCGGCGGCACACGGTGGCCAACGCCCACTCGGACATCCAGCTGCTGGCAATGGCCACCATGATGCACTCGGGCCTGGGTGAAGAGCCTGGCGGGGAGGACCAGTGCCTGCTCCTGCCGGCCAGCTTCTCGCCCCCGCACCGACAGTGCTCCAGCGAGCCCAACATCACCGACAGCCCCGATGGCCTGGAGCAGGGGACCGCGGGCAGCCAGGAGGACTCCGAGCTGAACTGTGCTTCCCTCGGTTGAACGCCCAGCCCCAGGACTTCCCAGCTCCGGCCTGCCACTGGCATGAGAACGGCTCCATCCCTGGGGTCAGTGGGGAGGGGGCTCACCAAGGGGCTCCTCCTGGAGGCTGAGTCCAAGTGCCCCGGTCGTGAACCTCTCCATGTTCATGACTGTGACCCCCTCTCTGCAGCCACACAGACCCAACTGCCTGATGCTTTCTTTCTGCTTGCTTGACTCCGGATACTCCTCTCTGGGCTCTTCCACCAGATTAGTGCTGTCGGCTGCTCCCGACCATATCGCCCAGGGCCCCTGGCATCATGACAGCAGGAGGTCGGATGAGCCGCCCACGAAGCTGGCAAGGGTGCACTGGCCTCCGGAGCTCCCGTGTAGGGGCTTGTGATGCGGGGCTCCTAGAGCGGTACCTCTCCTCCCCTGTTCTGCACGGAGCGAGAGCAGGCAACAGCTCCTGCCAAACAGGACGCTGGGAACGCGCCTTCCTTATTACGCTTTTGGAATTCCTGGGAAGAGTTGACCCCGGTGGGTGAGGGTCCTTCTCACTTGTATCCAGATGCTACATGCCGCCTTTGGCTTTTGGTCCCAGGGGGCCACACGGCTGGAGAAACCCCCTCTTTGACAAAGCCTCAGCGCTCCCCTCTCCAGCCTCCTCCCAAGCACAAAGAACTAACCTCCCTGGTGGAGTAGCTGGTGCCTTTGTTCCTCTCTCATTTCAGAAACTGACCATTTTCCTGCTGTGGGGTGTGGGGCCAGTGGATGCCAACCAAGTAGTCTGTTCCTGGATTTGACTTGAAATTTTTAAATGTGCATTGTTTTAAAAAAAAAAAAATAGTTTGCAAATATTTGCACGTAGGATCTTGCACTGCTCATTTCCAAGGGGGTTTGTCTTCAAACTAGAAAATAAACAACTCCCCCCTTAGGAAAGGAGCCTGGAAGTGGCTCAGGGTGCAGGGTGGGTGGTGGTTGGGGCTGGTCAGCTGCGGAGCGCTGGAAGCAGCCGGACTTGAATCCAGAGTGGCCTGTGTTAGTGAGCGTCACGGTCTACAGCACCGAGGTGGGGAGCCTCAATTTGCCTCAAGCAGAGGGTCGTGGTGAATGGAATGTCTCAGTGCTGTACAGCAGGGGAAGATGAGGGAGATGTGGGCAGGACCTTTTAGAGAGATGTTCATTCCCTGTGATTGAAGAAGTGCCTGGAATTTCTAACATCTGAGCTCTTAACGTGCTGTTTGGGGCACCAGGCTTTGGTACTGTGCTGAATCCTTGACACTCCTCCCTCCAGGTCTGGGCTCTTTGTCCATCTGGAACCACTGTTCTCTGTATTTGCCTGTTGGCCCCACTGGTAACAGCTCCAGAAAAAAAGAGAAGGCTCTCCTGAATCCTTCTGGTACCTTCTAAGTGTCCTGTTAGTCTTTGGAAACTGTTAATGAGGCACGAGCCAGCTTGGCTTCCAGTATGGCAGGAGGTGGCTGGGAGGGGACGAGGACAGTGTGAGCTGCCGGCAGGGAACGAGGTCTTCTAAGCATATCTGAGCCTTGATGGCACATCCCTTCTGGGCGAAGATCTGGACTATGACCAGAGTCATGCTTTGGATGGCTTGTACTATGGAAAGTTTGTTTTAAAAAGTTGTCTCATTTTTATTCTTCTAAGAGAATGTGGAAGAGAAATGTCCCAGGGAGATCTTCGGAGAATTTCAAACAAAAAGAAATCATCTCTGTGTCTGCGTTGGGTGAGGTCCACAAATTGACTAACGTGCATTAGCAATCTAGAACATCTGTAAGTAACAGCGTGATGGTTTCTTTGACTGGTGGTGTCTGTCCTTACTGGTACACTTAGCACTTGGGACTAGTATTTATTGATCCAGGCAAAGTCATTAATCATGCCTGGGTTTGCTTTTTTAGTTTACAACATTCATGATATATATGCTTTTAAATGCCTTGTGTGTCTCCTTTAGGAGAACAGCGTCATGGGTTAAACGTGAGCTGTTAAGTGGAGAACCGGAGGGTCGGGATAGCCCCCGTACACTCAACGGCTGATGACTGTCAGCCAGTTGGCGATTTCACCTTTGATGTCCTGCCCAATACTGCGCAGCGCCTATTTCAGACTCTACGGAAAAAACGTTGATGTTTATGGGCATTTTAGCCATCAGAGCTGTGGCGAGGGTGACAGCTGTAGTGTTTGTAAGCTCTTTTTCTCCCTTTGTGAGATGAGGCTAGGATCTCCTGGGGGCTGCGTTTTAATGACAGGAAGCCATCATGACTCCAAGCTCTGGGTGAGCTCACAACCCAAAAACGTTTCATGTTGTCCGTTTCCAAAATAGATTCAATAAACATCGTTTTGTACACGTCACTCTGTCCCCGTGCTGTGTGGCTTGACAGGATCTGCAAGCGCCGCGGTCCCCTGGCTCCTGGTGTGTCCTGTCCTCATGCCCTTGGCCAGCTTTTCCTGCCTCCATGTCCCTCTTCCTGTCGCCTCCGCTCCAGGATTCAGCAGCAGACTTACCTCAGCCAGCGTCCCCTGGTTTTGTTTGCCATCCTCAGCTGGATTGGCAAGTCATTTCCTGGACCAGCAGGCTGTCTGGGGAGCTTGGAAAACACTGAACAAAGTCTGGGATGACCAGTCATCTAAAGCCAGCTCCGGGCTCTCCCTGAGCGTTTGACCCGGAGGGGACGCTTACCGCGACGCATGGACTCTCTCCGTTCACTCCCCTCCGATTTTGTTTGGCAGGAGGAGACTTCAATCTACACTCCGTTACTCTCTGCATATATTTTCCCAGGATGGCCGGAGCTGAGTTGACCTGAGATTGAAGGATTATTAGTAAGAGCATTTAATGGGGTGTGACCCAAGCTGACCGAGAATCCTGGAGATGCAAAGCAGGACGTAGCCATTTGTGTTGAATATTCAGAGGCTGTAAGGTGGGAAAGAACTGTGCCGCGGTGGATTCCCCGTCACCGGCGCACTGTCATGTTGGCTTCTGCATCTGCTCAACTACCCACCGAATGTGGGCGCGGGGAGCTCCCACTGTGTTGAATGCCCTTCTTTTGGAGCAGGGGATGCAGCAATGGACAGTCGGCAAGGGGCCTGCCCGCTCTCCTGGGGACAATCCAGTGGGGGCAGGCTGGCGATCAGGTCAACACAGGCATTTCACATAATGACCAACAGCCCAGGGGAGTCAAATGACAATGCGGTGGCTCAGGGAGAGGAGGGGAGAGGGCGACCCTGGGTCCGGTGGCTAGAGAAGTTCTCTCTGCAGTTGACTCGAGCTGGCCTTACCGTCAGCTTCTGTTGCCTGACGTGCCATCACAAGTGACCACAGATGGTAATGGCATTGAGTGGCTTAAAACAACACACATTCATTATCACAGTTCTGTAGGCTGAAGTCTGACGCGGGTCTCATGGGCCTACGATCAAGGTGTCAGCAGGGCTGGGCCCCTGCTAGAGGCTCGGGGAGAATGCGTTCCCTCCCCCTTGCCAGCTTCTGGAGGCCACCTGTATGCTGGGCTCCTGGGCCACCTCCTCCAGCGTCAAAGCCAGTTACGGTGGGGGGAACCCCTCTCACATGTGCATCGCAGTGGCCTATATTCTATCTCCTCTCACGTTTAAGGCCCCATGATTCTGTCCGTCCCACCTCGACAACACAGCATGATCTTCATCTCGAGATTTCATGGGCACTGCCTCTGCTGACCTCACTGCCAGCGTCTCTCCCGAGAGGAGAAAAGCCACCATAGGGAGTGCTGGGGGCCCCACAGAGTTGAGCTCCAGAGGGCAGGCTGGTGCTGGTCTCAGTGTCCAGGGGCCTTCAAGTCTGTCCTCCACCCACCCAGGCCCGGACTCCCACACCACTAAGATTCTGGAGTCTCTTGCTCAGACTTTTCTCTGATTTCTAATCTCACGTGCTTGTCAGGCCCTCATCCTCCCGTCTGGACTTGTGCCACTGGGTACTCCCTGTATTTGGCTCCAGATGCCATCTCTCCCCATGGACAGCCGAGCGGATCTTTCTAAAACATAAACTTCTCCCAGGCTTCCAATAACATCCACACACTTGAACATGACTTCAAGGTCCTTTCCAAGCTGGCCCCCAGCTGCTTTTGCTGCTCTGTGACTCCCTGTGAACAGGTGTCCGTCTCATTGGATGGTTCTGCCTTCTACCCCCAAACCCTCCCACCTCGTTCCTGCTGCCCCCCACTCCCGCGGGCCCTGCCCACTACTTCTCCAGGTAGGAGACACTTATGCCTCTGCACGTGTCAGGTGCTGTCCCAGGAAGGCAACGATATGTGGGATTTGTGTTTGCCTGCCTAGGGCTTAGCAAACAGAGAAAGTTCTCTTAAGTCAAGTGTATTGGACGAATTAATGGGACAGTCGTAATTCTGATGGCCACTCTTTCCCTCTCACCTATTTGTACAATAGACCTTCACCCACTTTTCTTTCTCCACAGGCAGAGACTTTCCCCATGCTGCTGCCTAGTCATGTTCCCTCTGAGGCTATGTGGCCCAGCAACCTGGGAACACGGATGGGGGCCAGGACTCGGCTCTTTTCTGCAGCCCCTCCCCTTCCTGCTCCAGCCCGAGGCCACCAGTCCCTGTACAGGGCTAATCCTGTGCAAAGGACTGCTGCTTTGCTCCCAAGCCAGCTGCTTCCTTCTGGGTGTGTCCCCTCTCTGTCTGCGGTGAGAGAGTCCTTCAGGGCCCGGAGCATGTGCCCGTTGTTGGCACACGGCCTTCTCTTTGAAGAAGTTCTCCTGCCTAGAAGTAAGTGGGAGTCTTCCTGGCCAGTGTGCTTAGGCGAGAACCTCCTGGCCCTAACCCAGGATAGCTCCAGCAAAAGGGAGCTTCAGAGTCTGCCCTGGTGTGCAAGTACTATCCGGACCCCCCCCAACAACTGTGCAAGGCAGGTAGCGCCCCCATTTTGTAGATGGGGAAACAGAGGCTTGGGTTCTTTTACCCCATGTCCAGTGATCATCCTTCCTCTATCCCATGAAGTGTCCTGGCTTGGTAGAGGTTGAGGAAGCAGAACAACGAAGTCAGGGCCATAGCCCCCTCAGCTAGCTACACGGCGAGATGGTTTCAGGGTCTCCAGAGAGTGAAGAAGCAAAGCTGCCTCTCTTGCTCTTCTCCAGCTGCTTCTAAAAACACCTCATGAGGGGAGGGCATGGGGGTGGGGAAATCCCGCTTGTCCTGAACAGTCAATTTCCTACGCAGAAAAGATTTCAGTGGGCCTTTTCCTTAAAAAACTAATAAGCTTAAATTTGGATTTAAAAATAGTATTTTAATAAGTTTAATAATTAGTATTCATTTAATAATTCAGTTAATGTTTTTGGAATCAATATTCAGTTTATTTAAAAAAAATTTAAAAGCCTTTTTTAGGCTTTTAAGTTCAACTTAGAAATTTTATTATTCCATATGTCGAGCAGATTTTAGCATTAATTTTGGAGAGCCTTTAAATAATGCTTGGTCCTATTTACAAGCTTAGCTCAGCACTTCAAACACTTCTAAATACATTTATAAATTTAATATTTCTTTTTAAGTACTTCAGTTTTTCTAACAACATATAAAATCTTCCCCAATCCTAACTTCTTCTAGAAACTAATCAATTAAGCTTATAAATAAGGGAAACTTTAAATGTTTTTACGCTCTACTTAAGCTTAGATGACACCATAAAAGAGATCACAAGTCTTAATTAATTACTCTATTACACATTTTTAAATGGAATTATAAAGCTGTCACCGAACAGGGCCTTATTCTCTTACCACATGTGTCTAAAATACCGACTATGCGTAGATTCCTTCCTCACATAAAAGTCTTGGCGCTCTCGTTTGTTT